CCCTTCTGAAGCTGCTGCCCCCGCGACCCGACCCCGGATAGGTGGAAGAACATTGATGGATGGATGGATGGATGGATGGATGGATGGATGGATGGATATTTTCCAAAAAGCAGGGTAAACCTAAGGTAGGGGTGTCCAATCCTGGTTCTCAAGGGGCTATTATCCTACCTGTTCTACTTGTTGCCCTGCTCCAACACACCTGATTCAGAGACATGTTCTACAGTAGCCTGTTAATCATCCATTCATTCAAACCAGGACTGTTGGAGCAAAAAAAAAAAACCTCTAAAACATACAGACTAGCGACCCTCAAGGACCAGGATGGGGACCCCTGATGTAAGGCATCTGTCAGATTATTGTAGAAGGACTTTTGTTTATTTATTTATTATTTTAATCTTTATTTAACCAGGTTAGATAGTTGAGAACACATTCTCATTTACAACGCTGACCTGGCCCAGAGGCAGCAACTACAGGAACAGGACAGCACAAAATGGGCAACATATAAACAGCTGATAAACTAACAATAGTAGACAGTGTCGGAGGTTAACAATGTTAACAAATGTTTAAATGAATGACAACAGAGACTGAAGTGAAAATTGCTAAAAGCATGTTCAGCAGTCATCAAACAATGCTCTCACTGCTGATGCAAATGAAACAAAAGAAGCAAGTCATAGCGTTATTTGCAGAAGGTTCCTATATTTAGCAGTAAAACATAGAAAATATGAACGGCCAAAGGAGCTGCATACTTTAGATATAGAAAGGTTCATGTAAATGCTGGAGCGGAGGGTACGAGCATGGTTACAGACTTTAACAAGCAGAGGTAGGATGGGCTTTTACTAATCAGGGTTTTATAGATTAACAAAAACCGGTTTGCTTGTCTGTAGGAGTGAAAAGAGACCAGTTCAAATAGGGAATACAGAGGGATGAAGGTAGCACCAGTGACAAATGGCTGCATGTTAAAGGGTATTCAGCTTGTGGTGGGGAGTTTTGAAAGTGGTTCATAAGAGAACACTGTAAGGACTGTCATTTTTACCAGAAGATACTTTGTAGCAGGTTGAGTCAGAGATAGTTTGTTTTGGAAGCTTTGACTGTGAATAGCAGGGTGTGGATGTGAATTTCATATGAGAGAGAATTAAAGGGAAGAAACTTGTGCCAGCAGAGACTGAATTTGAATTGTTCAGACTGAATCTGTATTTGCATAAATTGAAATTAAACGTATTGTTTTAAAGGCACAGAGTGTAGGATTTGTTGTTTTCAGTGACATCTAGTGGTTGAGTGGTTGAATCATCCTCCCTGGTCCTCCCCCCACCCCCACCCCCCTCTTCCAAACACAAAGGAGTTGCTACGGTGTCTCTCAGGHGTCAAAAACCTTTGATAATTCCAACCGCGATGTCTACCAGCAGCTTCAGGGCTAGTGATGTTTCAAGTGGTAAGATTATGAGCTTTAATAAGTAAAATTATCCCAGCTACAATGACAGACAACAAATATCACATTTATAGTATTACAACTAAAACCGTTTTTGACACCGCCACCGCAGTTTGGCCTTCATGAGCCTTCGTAGACAAGATGGCGGCTGCCTGTAGTGGCGACCCACGACCATGGAGATATAAACAGCTTTTTATAAGGTAAAAATAATAAAACAAGGTCTTTGTCTGCAATGATTAGACATCCATCCATCCATCCATTTTCTGTACACGCTTCTTCCTTTTCAGGGTCGCGTGGGTCACTGGTGCCCATATCCAGCAGTCACAGTGCGAGGGGCGGGGTACACCCTGGACAGGTTGCAAGTCCATCACAGGGCCACACATAGAGACAAACAAGACAAACAACCATTCACTCTCTCACTCACACCTAGAGACAATTTAGAGTTATCAATTAACTTAACAGTCATGTTTTTGGTCTGTGGGAGGAAGCCATGTTTTTTATAATTGTCATTAGTGATTATCTCAATTTCGGCTAAAAGAATTGACAAAATCCTACAGTATGTCCATGGCCATGCTTACCTTAACATGTCGCACTAATTAAATTAAATTTCAATATATATAAAAAACAGACATTACTGTTTTATTTTGTAATTGATAAAACAATATAAAAGTCTTCTGTAACACTATTGTACTATAATTTCTGCACATTGAAAAATGGAGTTTGATTCTAACGTAAGTCACATTTGTTTGTTTCTTTCTCATCCTCGTTTTATTCTTGTTCAGGGTCATGGCAGCGACAGGCACAAGGTGAGGTGAACCCTGGACAAACTGACAAGTCTGTTTCTGCTCAGGAAACAGTACGTCTTTTAATCAGTTATTTATTTTAACATAAACACACAATTAATCTGTCACAAAAAAAAGCAGTATTTCAAGCAGAGAACTGAGGCACACCAGAGGTTTTTCCTTCGTCAGCTGGTCATCATGGAGAAATGTCTCACTTGACTGCAGAAGTTTGAACCACAGTGAGGAGTCACTGCTGCTTTTCATTGACCTTTTTTTTTTATCATGTTTTTAATCAGACTGACTTCAGCAAATAGTCAGACTAATACAGACAACTGCATCTTTGTGGGAGGATGATTCATTATTCTTTGTTTTGGAAAAACAACGCCCTTATCGAGGGGAACAGTTTTAACTTCACCATTCTAACTAACCATGTCACTTTTTTTCCCCCTTCCCTCCACACAGGAAGTCAAACGCACCAAAAGTGAGAAAAGTGCTTGTCATACAGATGCTAGGAAATCCAGTGTGACAAAACCAAACAGCTGCACAAAACACGGCGTGACGCAAGACTAAACGCAGTTTAATCAAAGAAAGATCCAACAGCCATAAAATAAAAATAATTACAGTTACATAAGCCACGCACAAATCAAAATGGCAGTTATGTGGCAGCAAATAATTATATTTCCAGGGCTACATTCTTCTGAGAGCTGTCAGCACGTGGGCACGAGTTTGGGACTTTTCCTTCAATATCAGCACGAGGGCCTTTTGACCACAAGGCATATCCCCTGCTGAGAGCCACACAAGGCAGGAAATGTTTTCCTTGGCAGATGCATGTCGAATTACAACCGGAGCACATAACCACCACAACATCCATGACACCCTGCCTAATAAGCAACCTGAAGGGTCTGTTGATCAGTGGGCATGATGGAGGGCACAGTGCAGAGCATTGTGTGGAAAAAATGTGGGGCACAACACCAAAAAAACAATAAATAAATGGGGCAGAAAACACTCCATTTAATTAGGAGTTTACAATGCATACGGTGAACTAAACACATTCCTTGCATTTTGCTGCCTGGAGACTCAATATCATATTGTTTAGCAAAGAATGGCATTCATTTCTCACATGGGAATTCAACCTGAAATTCAGCGTATGCCTCGTTCAGCCCACAGACACATATTTGTGTCTGTTTTGCCTGTGAATCCACGTTTAGTCTGTGGAAGAAGACTCAACAGCATTTCAAAAAGCACTACATCACCACTTCACAATTTTGCACGTCTTTATAGATATTCTCATCTGATATGTAATTAGGCGACCTGAATAAAGATCACCCATCAACGCTTTAACAACATTAACAAGACATTTAAAGAGGCTTTGCATTGATCGTGGCTGCCTGAAGGACTGGAGTTGTTGACCAGAAGTGACCGCAGGGATGGCGATAAAAAGTGCTGCCCAGAGGGCTGTGAGGACTGTAAAGGAAGAGCTGTGGGAGGGCAGTGGGGGCAAAGCAGGCCAAGCAGGGCCTTAGTCTTAACTTTTTCACAAGTCATAAATCTGGATTTGTCACAAGGCTGTCAGGTTGAACTCAGGGAACAGCCGGAGATGAACTTGGAAGGCAGACAGACCAACCGACAGAACAGGTTGCTCACAAAGACAACTGTCTAAGACAAAAGAGACACCATGGCTGTTAATCAGGTATGCTACGAACAAGAGAAGCTGACAAACCCACAGCTCATACCCTTCTCACTCAGACATGAAGATAGGTATGTGGGAGTTCTGTTGTGCCCCATGCTTCTGCAAAACTCCACTGACCACCTTGGTGTTTATTCGTCTGCCCCTCATCCCACCCTTCTCCAGGCGCTCAAAGGGTAACCGTCCATTCTGGTTTAGAGTTACAGCCAAGTTGCCTTGAACCTTCGGACTTTCATGCACACATGCCATTCCTGGCAAGCCAGTGCGCTCCCTAGTGCACATCACCTGTCCCTGACCCCCACAGAGAGGAAGGGGTACCTCAGTGCCTTCGTTATCAAAAACCACACAAACGCGACCAGTACCTGCCAATCTCTGTGACTGAGTGAAGCACCTGCCCGCCTCCCTCTTCTGCCTCCGCTCCAACTATTATTACAGGCTTCGTAAGGGTTTACGTGTTGGCCATGACCTCAATAGACGGCTGAGCTAGGCTAAAGGCAAAGCTAACAGTTAAAGGAGCTGTCTGGCACGGTGACAAAACAGGGTGATGACAGATGCTGTCTGAAAGCGCCACTGCCTGTGTCGGTCCCGTTTTCCACTGAGCAGATCCACTATCAAATGTTCGGGCAGAAGGCCTCACTGAGGCCAAACCATCTGTCACACAACATCTTTCAACAAAATGCTGTAGAAACCTCACCTTCCCAACACCTGTTTGGGAATGACATCATCTGAACACTCATTAAACAAGTACCATTTTTGGTATAAAAAATTATTATTACTTTACAGTTGAAAGAAACAAAGCCAATTATGTGGAAGTGTGGAAAATCCAAGAAGTTTGCAGCAAAAGCCTACACTGAAAAAAATAACTAGTAAGATTTACTTGAAAAAATCCTCTAACAAATTTGCACTAACGTTTGTTAAGTAAATTTAAATGCTACAAAATTCATGTAATATTTACTCTCATCATTATCTAGTAAAAGTTATTAAAATATAGTTAAAGATTTGTGAATAAATCAGGTAAATTTTACTTAATTTGKTCAATTAAATCTTATAACATTTACTTGATCAAATTAAGTCAATTTTACCTGATTTATTCACAAATCTTTAACTATATTCTTAATAAATTTTACTAGATAATGATGAGTAAATATTACATGAATTTGTAGCATTTAAATTTACTTAACCAACGTTTGTGCAAAATTGTTGCGAGGATTTTTTCTAGTAAATCTAACAAGTTCTTTATAACAGTGCACATGCTTCAAGCACAATATTGTAACATGACACCTCACAGCTACAGAGAGGTGTAGCTCTTGTTGTAGTTCAAGACTTCACCACCAGGTGGCAGTTTTGAAGAACCTTTATTGGATTCTTCTTCATGAACAACACAGACAAAGTGAAACTCACAGGTCTTCTTAATGACTAGGCCTACCACTCTCACTTATGGTTACTTCTGATAAATGCTTTAACACAAGTTAACAAATAATGAACACACGAATTACAGTAACACAACAGACTAACTGCTGAAAGAACAATGTTAACCAATTCCCTAAAATGATTTAACAACAACAAACATGAATCCTACCCACAATCCTCCACTGCAGTCACATGACAAACAGCCAAACACAGCAGAATGCTACAATATGCATTCCCTGTTCCCTGACAACTAAATATCACCTACATTATGTCATCAAACTATTGCACACCAACAAATGGATTCAAGCAAAAGAAAGCAGACAACTTATGTTTTATTTCCACCATGTCTTGTCCTCTCCTTGAAAAGTGAAGCAAGGGAATGAGGAGCAGCAGCCTTTGTGTGTGCATGCAGCCTCAGTTTTAGTCCAGAAGAGTAGAAGTTACTTCATATATTCATGTTTATGTGCTGTCCAGAAAAAACACTTAAATATTACTGGTAAAATAATATTAGCATTTTTTTTGTACAGTAATATTGATATATAATATAATGCGTATTGTTTTTTAGTAAATTCTAGTAGTTTAGAGATTTTGATATTTTTGTAAAATATAAAAGAACAATTATATGATGGATGAGGGATGTTACTACACCCAAAAATCTTTTTTTTTTTTTTCAGTGTACAAAAGTGATGTGTTGAACTGACTGGATCATTTAAGTAAAGCTTTTCAACTCTCAGGTAAATCCAACTGTTTCTAAGGATCAAAGTCACATTTAGTGTTTTTCAAACGCACAGAAACAAGTGATCAGAGTGTATGTGCCTGTTTCCACTCTGCTGGGGGACCAAAGTGAGCGACAGCTGCACAGGAAACATGAGTGATGTGAATCATGAACCCGAGGAGTGGAGACATGTGTGGGAGAACATGTGAAACAAACTGTGAAAATATTTTAGGACTTACACTGGTTCAGTAGTGGATATGTGTTGGTTCCTCCACATCTTAAACTGGTCTTCATGTTAAAAAAATGTTTCACCATGTACTGTTTGTCACTGCAGCCCTCCATGTCTCTCTTCAGCTTCAAATGCATGATAAAAGCTTGTTGTTACTTTTGTCTTGTGATTTTAATAACCTGAAAAGAACTGAAAAAAGAGCTACTGTATGCTTTATTGTTTTATTTACTGAGACAAAGTATGAGAAGAGTCCTTCATCCTAATTAGATCCCAGAGATGAACTGGTTTTATGTCTTCGGCTCCTTGTTTCTTTGTAATTTGAAGCCAAACTTGTAAACTTTCTGTGTTTTGAGCAATAGTTTTCAAGCTTTTTAAACAGCTTTTGAAGTGTTTTTACTGACAGACTGAAGCACAGAATTGTATCTCTTGAAATTCTTTGCCTATTATACAGCGGGTAAAGTGCATGTTTTTATTCACGATTCTTCAATGCCTGAGTTCGCCCCCTACTGACCTACGGCTGAATCACAGGCATTCGTACAATAATCTCAACCTAATGTTATCATAACGGGTCACTTATGTGTTGTTTATGATTCGGACATGTAACTACTCTATATCAATTAACACATAATAGATCAAACATTATAAAAGTATTATAAAAAGGAAACCCTAATAATCTAGTGTTGTTTCTAACATCAGTACTAATCTGTAATAACTATAAATTTCTTCACCACTGTGGTCTTCACATAATCCCTCCAGCTGAAGTTACCCTGTGAATGTATGGAATACTGCCAATTGTTTTCTGTTGTGACATATTTTGTGCTGCACATTTGTACTACAGAAGCTTAACCAAAGCTTTTATCTCACTGAATCAGTTATTCTTTATGTAATCAAAACTTAAATTGATGGTATATTGAGAAAGGTTAAGAATCAGTTGCTTCTTGAACTTTAAAGTAAGAATCATTCATAAATGAGGCATGACACTAGTGTAGAAAAGAGCAGAGAGCGTGGCAGGAGAGATGGGCGTACCGTACATCTTGCCCTCATCAGAGAGGATGATCTTCCTGCGGCCACACGGTGGGTAGATGGCCAGGGCCTCCTGGAAGCTCTGCTCGATGTCGGGGCTCCACACGCCCTCAGCATCATTCTCCAGTGGTTTGTCAAGTCCATCTCCCAGCTCCTCACTCCCACCCCGTGGGGAGGGAGCCGGCACCCACTCGGCAGACGTGGTGGGACGACAGGCAGGTGACCACAGAGCAAGAGGAGCGGATGGTTGGAGTTACGCAGCCGGCAGCAGTGGAAGGAGAAAGAGGAGGCTTCTGCAGGAAGAACACCTCCCTGTATGAAATCCACAGACGTGATGACGACGATGAAGGGGAGTCTGGATATGACAGGAAAGGAAAAATAGGGAAAACTGACTTTAGGAGAGTGTTTAAAGAGTAACTTACCCCAAAATTAACTTTTTTTTGCTGATAAACTGTCTAGAATATGTCTACACTGCAAAAACTGTCCACCTAACCAAGTTTTAAAACCTTATATCAGCCAAAAAGTCTTTTTGATCTTGTTTTGAGACTGATTTACTAAACAAGAACTGATTGTGTAAGAATAACCATCTTGTTTTC